GTTCTTTGCCAATAAATACCTATGAGTTTTTTTCTCAATTGATAAATGATAAGATTTTGGAAAGAAGAAAACGTACATTATCATTAGGATACAACACTCTTGTGATGTTTTCGGAGTTGTTGCGGTCCATAACAGCTTGCACGTAGTCACCATCGTTGAAGAATTTCAGGTGGAAGTGATTCTCAGCCTGAAGTTTGCAAAAAATTAAAGAAAAAATTTTGAGATGCAAAACCCAAGATTCAAGACTAAATAAGCATAAAAATAGGAAAGTGCAAGCCTACCTTGGCGCTCCACAAACGAAGGGTGTTTACAACATTGTTACGATAACCGGGAACAGGGGTGTCATAGGGCATCGCGAATACAACCTGTGTGTCCACCCAGCTCGCCTAAAATCAAAATTTATGGTCCGTACGAAACAAGACTCAAAGGAAACTTGTAAAAAATTGCAGATATTCCAAGAGAGGCACCCACCTTTCCTTTCGAATCCTTGACTACTTTGCCGTAAAAGTTAACAGGCAGCATGTACTCTGGTCTAGCCTTTTCCCATGGGTTTCCAAAACGGAGCCAGTCATCGGGCTCTTCTACCTGCATAGAGAAAATGCAGATGAAGACAATTTATTCTTCTTGTAATTATTTTTTGTGCTCACAACCTTGGAGAAAACCCATTACTCCTATTCTACCCGAAAAAAAACCTCTTAAAAAGATTTTGTTCCAAAAGGAAAATTTCCAAATAAGAAAAACCTTCTAGACAAATAAACACTTCGAAACCCATAATTGTAAACATGGTTGTCAGAAGTGCGCTAGGGTTTGACGTACCTGCCAGCCGTCTCTGATGAGTTGCTTGAAGATACCGTACTCGTATCGTAGACCGTAGCCGTAGGCTGGGATACCGAGGGTAGCCATTGAGTCGAGGAAGCAAGCGGCAAGACGACCAAGACCACCATTTCCGAGTCCAGCGTCTTCTTCGATTTCTTGCAATTCTTCAATTTCCAAACCGAGCTGTAAATGATGTTTTTTTTACTAAACCATTTCTACACCATTTCTAGCACTCAAAATAGTGTAAGAGAGGCAATATTATTGAAGATCTAACAATTTTTCACTTTTTTAGAAGTAAATATATAACAAGTTTTGACTTCCTCGAATCCTCTCAGGCAATAACTATGCAAAAATTTGACATTGCCTAACAAAGCCAGCTATCTGCACCCCTAATGCCAGCTTTTTCTCTACTTTTTCCTTTCGCTTATGCGGATTCATTACAGCATTGGCGCGATTGTTCCAGTTTCGTCACCTAGTGTAAAACTAATCAAAGAGGCATAGAACGATCAACGATGTTCAATCTTTTAGTCTCCGTGCACGGGTCGTAAACCGCGCGTCCACAACAACAACCCAAAGATAGCGCAAATGGCCGAAAGCAAACAAATACCTGATAGAGTGCTTCATCAACAGTAGCCTGGAGTCCAAGGTTCATCATAGTGTTCGATAGAGTACGTCCCATATAGAATTCAAGAGAAAGGTAGTAAACTCTCTAGAAGTTGAAAAAAATCAAATGTATAATTGCTATCAATCAGAAATCTCCAAAAATTACCTTGGGATCTTTCTCATAATAGTGCTGTTGTGTGCGAATCCATCTGCTCACTAGATGATCCCTAACAGTGTTTGCGAGGGCCATGTAATAATCCCGAGGTGTTGCAACATTACGATCCTAAAATTATTAAGTGAGACTTGTCGAACCTATTACACCGTAGATTCCTAATATCCCCTACATGATGTTGCAAGTCCGTTAAGGTTAGCTACCCCTTATCGGCTGCTGCCGTGGACTACTGTTCCCCCTACAATGTAAAAGCGCGAGCTTACCGCTGGTACTATAGATAGGAGCAAAGACTAGATCATACAACTAACTATGAACCAATTCTCTTGCTTTCTGCTTATTTTGGCATCAATATAGCAGTGCACTGTGGGTTAGGTCGTACTAACAAGTTACGCGTTGATTGGTCTAACAAGTTCCGTTGGTAATCTGATTTTTTTGGCACACCTTAGTGTGTATGAATAAATAAATAAATAAATACAATTCATCCTAGTAACAAAAAAAACTTACACTATACTGATATACTAAAACTACCAAAGAAGCAACGAAAACACGAGGAGGTCGCATTGTGCCATGCTACCGCTAAATTATCCTTATTTTCGACCAGGTAACTATCAAGGCCCCACAGATCAGATCCGCCGCCAGCCGCCAGGGCCCCAAGGCAACGGGACAACCCTTTCTGCTCCCAATAATTTCCAGTTCAACAACTAATCCAAAAGTCAATTTCACTATTGCGCGTCAAGGCATCTAAACAATCCAACAATCAAGTGCAAACCCTCTACTGCTGATTCTAAAACTTTCAATGCGAGTACCACAATGAAATCTCCAAGAACAGTAATCAATTAAATGCAATGGCTCGCAATTCTCCATCGAAATTTATAAAAATTACCTGGCATCATCCAATGCAGATTCCAAAAATCAGCTTGTAGAGCGCGAAAATGTTAAAAAACAGCATTCTTTAAGACCCTCCACTTTCCCGCCATGGTTAGAGAAGCAGAGTTGTTGCGGACCCTTGCGTTATAACATTGCGTTATGCCGCCTCTGATGGTGGGAAGGAAACCACGAGCTCGTCCGTGCGCGTGTAAGAATGGCTTGCGCGTATGGGTTTGAGGGCACTTCTCTCGGCATGAGGGTACCGAGCGGCCGGACTTATTTGCCTTCATGTTTGAGAGGTAAGCAATTCACCACATCAAAGTCTCAATGCGTAACCAATTTTGCCGAGTCGCTGCCTTCAAAGACGAGAATGGCAAGTGAGCAAATGATCTGTCCCGCTATATATGGCCATATCGTTGGCTACGTGCCAGCAAGAAGAGGTCCTGCGACTGCTGCAACGCGAATCCAAAGCTACTGCAGCCGTCGCCGAATGAGGCTGCGTTCATGCTGATTACGAAATCCGAGAACAGTTC